TATATTTAGACATAATTAATAAAACGTATGTATATTATTAATATGGATATTGTTAAGTAGATAGAGAGGACATTTTTATTTTAAGGGTTAACGATCTCTTTCAAAAAGTACTGTGTTTCACCAAAAGTGATGATTTTAGCAAAATTAGACACTTTATTCTTGCTTACTTAAAAATTAGAGAAAACTAGAATAATTTGTTATAATTGAGCTTATACTTTTTTAGTTTGTTTAGGTTCTGAAACGATCAGGGGCTCCCACTTAATAAAATAAAAATAAATTAAAAATACTCTTTCTTTTAATATTTTATCTAAATTATCTTTTTAAACCATTAAAAATTTTTTATATGCTCATTTTATAAGAGTTCCTTTTTATATCTTAAAAGAGTTCCTTTTATGTTGTATGTTAATATTTCTAAATAAAAATATCAATGAGAAATTTTTAAAATAAATTTGAGGGCTTTATTACGTTACCTGACTAAAAATAAGATAAGCACCTTCTCCCTCGTTCATTTCTTTAATGGATCTATTAATAAATTATTTTAACATGATATTAATAGGTTTGTACTAAAATAATTTAGTTTTTTAAGGGAATTATATTAATGGAATAAGGTTTAGTTGAAATAGCAATATTATCTTGATTATAAATAATTAATCTCTTATTTTCAGTTTTTTGAAGAAGGTAAAGCTGATCTTTAAGAGTTATATTACTATTTTTTAAACTTCGAAACCATTTAATATGTTTTAAATTTAATGAACTATCTTTATTTAATAAAGTTTTAATATCATCAAACTGAATTGGATTTTTAAATCCTTTGATTTTACAAATGTATTTATTATCTGCAGTTATTCCAGCATAAATCTTAGGACCTAAATAAATAGAATCTTTAAAAATATATTCTAACTTGAATTTACCAAGTTCTTTAGAATTAACTAAATTATCATCTAATGGTCGATCTAAATATAAAGAATCGGTATCAGAATAATAGATACTATCTAAATTATCTTTAATTACATTATACATTACACTTCTTGCGTAAGCTGTAACAGCTGAAGCTATAGAAATACTTGATTTAGAATCATTATCTAATTTAGAATTATCAATATAATTTACGAATAATGAATCATTTAAATCAATATAATTTTTGATTTCTATTTGATCATTTTCTAATAATTTAAGAAAATCTGATTTAGACATAAATGTGAAAATATTTTTAATATTCTTCATGGCAAATCTACCATAAAGTGAATTCATTAATAATTTACTAATAAAATTCATAGGATCAGATTTAGGATATTTTTTTTCTCATATCGAATAAATCATTTACGAAATCTGTAAATATATAATCCATATTAAATAGATAACCGTTAAGAATATTAAAATTATATTCATTTAAATATGAATAATATTCAACAGAATTTAATTTCATCTTAAATGAACCATTTGGACTTAAAGTTCTTATTCCACCAGATTTATTTAAAATATTATGATGTAATTGTAAAGGAGGTATATAAAGATCTTTTGAAGTTTTCACTTCAGTATCCCCAATCCAATATTTATCACTTAAAATAGTAGGATCTCCATCAAATTGAATAATTTTACCAATTGGATATTTATTAGTTTCCATTGATTTTGGATATAATGAATTTACATCGTACACATGAATATTTTTACCATAAGGTTTATATACATCTGTCCGACCTCCTGTAAAACTTTCTTTAATGAATTCGAAAACTTTATTTTTAGTTAATGGAATAGTATTTTCCTTTAAGTAATGCATTCTAAAAATAGCAAAAGATAAAGAAGGAATAGTAGGATAATTAAGAATATCGATTTTAAATTTATCGTAAACTAAAATTCTAAATTTAAGTATTACTTGATGTAAAGATATACAATCTACTTCACAGTATTTTTGTATTTTGTTTTTCCATTCCATAAAATCAGATATTTTTAAAATTTCTTTAGAATAGTGAGTTAAATCATTCATTTTAAATTGATCATAACCTTCTCCTACAAATACTGGTTCAACTAATTTAGTTTGTTCAACTTTAAATTGTTTTGTTAATTTACTTAAACCACTAGGTAAAATTAAGAAAGAATCTTTAATCGTGATAGAAATATTTTTTTGTTTATTTTCTATAGTAATAGAAATGATATTTTCATCTCGCATCAATATTTTGATAGAATAACCTTGTTTTTTAAGTGAAGCTAAATGTTTAAATATAAAATATATATCAAATCTAGAAAGATTATGTGCAAATACCTGAAATCCTCTATATTTAGATCTTAATAAATTATTAAATAATTGTTCCGGTGAATCTGTAAACCAAGAATATGATTTATTACCATCGAACATTGAATAAAGATAAGGTTTATGTACTTTATTAATTAATAAAGTCTCAATATCAAAAGTAATAATTTTATTTTTATTTATATTAATATCTTTAGATGATAATTTAGTAAGATAATTAGTTTTTAATTCTTTGGTTGTTAATATTATAGAATTATTTTTAATATAATATTTATAATTATCAATAATTCTTACAAAATCATATTTATTATTATCACTAATTTTATCATAAAAACTTAAAATTATTTTATGATTTTCTAAAACATCAATTTTATCTTTATATATAAAAAATATATATTTATTATTAGTAATAATAGTTAATGAATCATTTTTATTTACGATAAATATATTTCCCCAACTATAATAATTCATATTAGAGGCTAAATTAAATTTTCCAAATTTTTCCAATTTAATTGGTTCAATGGATGATTTAATTAAATCCCATTTTTCTATATATTTTTTTTCTTGGTTATTTGGCAATTCAAAATATTTAAAGTTAATATTATTTGATAATAAAGTTTTATAATCTTCGGATCTAAAATTAAAATTAGATAAAATATAATCAATATAATTTTGTAATGATAAAGAGGAAACAATTTTACCTTTACTTATTGTTCTAAAGTCTTTATTATCATATTCAATTGTTATTAGAACAAAATATTTTTTATTTGATAATATTATTTGATTGAAAAAAAGGGAAATAAAGTCTTTTAATAATGAATCATTGATTATTAGATCTTCAGTTTTTATTATGAATTCATTGAATCCATTTTTGTTAATTAAGTTATTAAAATTCATTGGATTAAATTGAAATTAAATAGGTGTTTCATTTTGTTTTATATATTATTTATTAGAATTTTTAATAAATATATGTTTTAAAAATGATAAATTTATAATAAAATAATAAAATAATAAGTAAGATTATAACCATTTTGTTTATTTCATAATAACTTCTAAATTATTTTTAAATAATTAACTAATTATTATATATTGTTTTGTTTTGATATTTTTTAAGTAATAGACACTGTAACTAATAGGATAGGTTATAACTTTTAATAAATTATATAAAATTTATATAAATATTTTTATAATAATTAACTGGCTTGCCTGTGAACTCAGCTATGTATAACAAAATATTTCTTTAAAGCAAAATTCCTAAGAAAGCTGTTTCGAGCCGACCGCCATACTAGTATTCTAGGTGATTTATAAAGTTATTTTATTTACAGTCTTTTAATAATTTTATGTAAAATTAATTTATAACAATCCTAATTTACCCCAAAAAATTTTAATTATCGAAAAAGTCTGTTCAATTAAATAAGTGATTTAAGAGAATAAAACTGAATAAAGAAACTATTGAAATGGCTGGATGAAACCCAAACCCTACTTATTTTTATAATTTTAAAATACTTGTTGACTCAAAAATTCAGCAATTAATTGGATTACTATGCTCATAAAAAGTTAAAAAGTATGCTCTGAAATGGAAAAATACCAAGGTCTTCCTTCTATTTTTACCCAATTTTCTACTTTTTTTTTATCTCCCCCTTAATAGTCTTCGGGACATGCTCTAGTCTTTTTAAAAGGGCTTAAATGCCTGGCTCGGTCTTATGTAATTATTTCACTTCTTAATTATTTGTGGAGGATGTCTAATTTGGGTGTTTTTGCAAATACTCAAAAGTAAATCTACACCCCCTCTTGGCGCTGGCGCGTAAGCTAGCGGCATGGGGGTGGATTTATTACCATCAAACATTTAAAATAAATAAGGTTTAATGTATTCCATAACAATTGTTTCAATATCAATAGTAATAATTTTAGTTTTTAATTATTAGATTTAATTAAATTAGATAAATATTTTTATCCTATTCTTTAGTTTGTAAAATAATTTTACCTGTTATAGAATTAATGTAATATGAAATATTATTAATATTTATCGGGATAAATATATTATTTCTAAAATCTGAATCCACAAAAGTTAAAATAACTCAGCCACTTTTAAATAAGTCCAAGAACCGTCGGTAAACTGACTAAGTAGAAAATACTTCATTATTATGATTTTTTAAAATAAAATAATATTTAATATTTATTCTGATCTATTAAAATATTACCCCTAGTCTCATAGTGTCTATTAATAGGAAAGTAATATGAAGTTCCGAAGGATTCTAATTTAATTAGTTAAAAATATGTCTACTTGCTTGATCCTTTATTTATTTTAAATATTATATATTTACTTACTTACTGTTATAATGATAACATCTTATTGGACTCGAACCAATACCCTATAGCTCCGAAGGCCATTGCTTAACCAATTCAGCTTAAGATGTAATATTTTATATAATATATTTATTATATCAAAACAATTTCAATTTTATTGTTTTTCTTACGAGCAAAGAGACTTGAACTCTTACGATCCAAAAATCATGAATTCCTAAGATTCACCCGGCTACCATTTCGGCACACTCGTGTAATAACTTATAAATTAATACTCTAATTTTTTATATAAATTAAAAAAATTAAATTTTTATTAACTAGTACCCGGGGTTTGCCCGGATTTACACTTTATTTTAATAAAGAGTAGAGGATTCGAACCTCTGTCCATAATGTGTAAAATTATTGCTAAACCACTCAGCTAACTCCTCTTATTTAAATTTTTAAATATAATAATTAATTTAAATTATTTTATAACCCTCCTTTTTGTCGTCAAGCTTTTGTTTTTGTGTTTTTTTTAAATAAAAAAACAATACAAAAAAAAGGAATAAAAAAAGTTTATTGAAAGGAGGGTAGAAGAGTGGGGGTGTTTCGAAATTTTTTTATTATCCAGCAGCACTTTCCAGTACAGCTACCTTGCTACGACTTTTGAGATGTTACCTAAATGGGTTAACTAAAGCCAATTAACTTAACATAGATGTTTTTTTTT